GGGTCATAATTCAAATGCAAAGCCCTGCCAGAGAATAATGCACGGAACCGCTTCAATCAGTTTTCACATTCGTGCTGCATTAAAATGTTGGTAAGCACCCAGAACGTGTTTAGGACACGTACGGCCCGTCTAGAGCCCCACAGTGCGCAGCTCTGGAGCTGACTTCCTACGCTGAGATAGAGCATTAATGCTCCACTGCTAGCTACAAAGGGAAGCTAGACTCCAGGTGGCACACCTGCCGCGCTGGCCGGGCAGACGCTCTGCCCTGACCTGCACCCTGGTCCTGTGTTCGCCGTCTGAACGTCGTCCATCTGAACCCTCATAGAGAAGGAGCTGGAGCCCCTTCCAGGTGGTTAACTGGAAGCTCAAACACCACCCCCGAGCACATGAGAGACGACGGGGGGTTGGCACCAAATCCCAGAGTAGCCCAGCTTCACCCTGGGGGTCGAGGAACGTCCTTTTCGTCTCCCACTCGTCCACCCAGCAGTTCAGCACGCACGACTGCCTTCCATGTGCCAGCGCATTTCCAAAGGCCGGAGACACGGCAGGGAACAAAGCTAGCAAAAAGCTCTGCTCTAATGGACCCTGCCCTACCGAAAAATCTACACAACTACACATAATAACAAAGACAGAAAGAACTGAATATGTACAATAAGTGAATTTACAAGAACTGATGAAGTCTATGGAGAAAAATAAAGTGAGGAAAGGGTGTTGGGAGCGTACAGGGTGGGGCAGGGCAGTCAGAAAGCTTCCCCTCAACTCTTGGGTACATTCACTGGCAAATGTTCTCAAAATTTTAAGGAATAGTATCATAGCATGGCTACGATACTACGCTATGCCCCATAAGTAGCAAGATAAAATAATTACAAAGGTGTCCTTTGTGCAGGGTCTCTCTCTTTCCCTCTCGGTGGGGCCTGGTTGAAGCCCCATTCACTACCCCAGCCTCCGCTGCCCCTCCTGGTGGCCAAGGTGCTTTGGCTTAGTTGCTTCAGCTCCAGGGCATCACCTGACACATTGTGACAGAAAACAGGGACAGCGTTCCTGACCCTGGTGGGAGGACTTGAGCAAACACCCATGAACACCTGAGCAGACATCCGGCACATAAGTAAGCGGGCAACAGCCTCAGGATGCTGGGTTTATATCTCTCGTCTCATTTCCCACATAGCTGTGTGGGGCCAAGGGTTGAATCCTCCTACAGCCCCCCGGGGAATGGTTCTCAGGTTATGGATGGATCGTCAGGGCAGGTTGAGGATGGCGTCACGGGACTCGGGAAGGTATGGGCACATCTTACCGTGGGACCTGTGACGGTGACTTCCTTAGAAATAGGTTCTTTGCAGGAATGTCACACTGGATCAGGGTGACCATAATCCAGGACTGTGGTTTTATAGAAGGAAAGTGGGACGCAGGGACCCAGGCATACCGGAAAAGGGGCTGCCACCAAGGCGCCCAGGGTGCAGGCCCTGGCCGCAAGCCAGGAGTCACTACTGCTGACTTCGAACTGCAGGAGGCCTTTGTCTCAGACGGAACTCCTACGTGGGGCTCCGAGGAAGCAGACTAAATCAACAGCCATTACTTCTGAAGAAAAGCAGACTGGTCGGGTCATAATTCAAATGCAAAGCCCTGCCAGAGAATAATGCACGGAACCGCTTCAATCAGTTTTCACATTCGTGCTGCATTAAAATGTTCGTAAGCATGCAGAATGTGTTTAGGACACGTACGGCCCGTCTAGAGCCCCACAGTGCGCAGCTCTGGAGCTGATTTCCTACGCTGAGATAGACGATGCTCCCTGCCACTCCAAAGCGAAAGTAGACTCCGCGAGGACGCCGGCGGAGGGGGGCATCTGCAGGTTTAGCTGTGACAGCTCTCTTAGCCTCGGGCTCCCGAGAAGTTGTCTCATCCTCAGACCCTTAACCGGGAGCTGTTCAGGGCCGGGGGTTTCTGTAGGCAGGAGGCGCGGACAGGCCCCGACGCGCCCCGCAGCGCCCAGCCCCGACCCGTCTCCGGGGGCCTGGGTGAGCGGCCGGCGGGTTCCGAGTCCCGCAGGTCCGGCTCCCGGGAGCTGTGCGCCTGCCGCAGAGTCTCACAGTCGGTTCCCCCGCCCTGGGGACAGCGCGCGGTGGCATGCATGCGTCCGCGAGAGCCGTGCGCGGGTCCAAGGCGAGGCTTTCATCAGCAGAGAGGCAGACGTTCTCACCGGCTGCTCGGCCACCACGCTGCCTGGAGCTGCAGGCCGGGTCCTTCTGAGGCCCTCGCACCTCGCCCCACAGCTCGCTGTGGCCCACAACGACGCCGGCCGCGCCCTCGCCGGGCCGGGCCGCGCGGGTCTGTAGGAGTTCGTGGCGGCCGGCGGGGACGGCCGCGGTTTGGGACTCCGAGGGCGGTGCCGGGCGCGCGGCCCGCACAACTCGGAGCAGGTCCCCATCCGGTATCCCAGGTAGCGTGGCCGAGCGGTCTAAGGCGCTGGATTAAGGCTCCAGTCTCTTCGGGGGCGTGGGTTCGAATCCCACCGCTGCCAAGTTTATTGCAGGTTGTTGCAGCTAGACAGCGGGACCTGACCCCAAACCCTACTTCCTCATGGGGAAGGACAGCTGTGGCCTTCAGGGGAACCCTTTCTTTAAAGTGGTGTCCGAGGGGACAATTTAAAAAAAATTTTTTTCCCACAGAAATAAGTGGAACACGGTTTGAACGCTCCGCGGTCCGAGGGGACAATTTTTAAAAAATTTTTTTCCCACAGAAATAAGTGGAACACGGTTTGAACGCTCCGCGGGGCGAGTTCCCAGCGAGAACCCGGGCGGCGCGGTTCCGCCGGGCAGGAGGTCCGGCCGCGCGAGGCCCAGGCCTGCGCCCGGGGCACTGTGCGTCGAAGCCGGCGGTGACCGCGTGCTCTCCTCGCCTCTGTCTCCCTGGTGTCCTGTTCTTGGCTACTTCGAAAGGGCGGCGGCCACCTTCCGCGGTGAAAGGGCGGGGCGGCTCGCATCCCGCGCTCAGGTGGGCGGCCGCAGAGAGCCTCCTGGGGCCAGCGCTAAAGCGAACCACGCGTGCCGCGGGCGTTCTGGGGGCCGCGGACCTCCTTTCTGAAATGTCACCGACTCATCCTCCTGTAGGCCATGCCCCGGCTGCTCCTCAGCACCCTGACCCACAGGACACTGGAACAGGCACAATTACCAGCGGTTCGTGTCCCACTGAGACCAGATGTCGCCACGAGTTCTTCACATGTTGTCATTACACTCTCAGCTATACCCAAGGAAACGCCTGTCAGCCACCGTTTACAGAGAAGGAAAGGAGCTGTGACCCCTTCCTCCCCTGCCGAATTCACAGAGACTGAAGGTGGAGGGGCAAACGGCAGCTTGGAAAATGTCGCCTTCCCCGCAACATCTGCATTCTATCCCGGACTGTGAATATTACCCGGAATGGCAAAAAAAAAAAAAAAAGTCTTAGAGGGAATTTGAAGGATCTTGAGGCGGGGATTGCTCGGGCCTAAATGCCATGGCAAGCTCCTGTAGCAGAGGTACAGGGCGATCCCTGAGGCCGGATGCCACCACAAGCCAGGGACTTCCGGCGGCCACTGCAGCCAGGTGCGGCAGCACAGCGCACAGCCTTGTCCACGGACTTCTGGCTTCTAAAAGTATAAGTGAATATATTTCTGTTGCTTTAGGGTGCCAAATTCGTGGTAATCTTTTACAGAAGCCCCAGGACACTAAGGCATATCTTTAAGGACTCCCGCACAGCCGTACACCAGCACTGTTTTCAGCTGTTTTGTTTGGGCCTGTCAGTCTGATAGTCTGATGTACCATTTTCCTGCAGTTCTACAGTTTCATTGTACAGTTTCTTTCCTTCCGAGTGATGTTAACCATCTCTTTGTGTCTTTACCAGCCATTTGTCCCCGTCCCGTGAAGTTGGCGTTCACCTTCTTTGCAGTTTTTCCTGTGAGTTGACTTTGCTAGCCGGGGCTGGCGCAACTGTACCTCAGGAAAATCCAGCTCCCTGAATACGAATTGCAAATGCACCCCAAGGCACCTCCCTTTAGCTTTTCCGTTTTTCCACTTTGCTGACACATTTTTAAGCAGATGGGGGTAAATCCAGGCAGATCTTTTTTCAATGCAGTGAATTACATCCAGCTACCATTTTGTGTGAAAAAGTAGTTTTCCATGCAAAAATTATACAAAGCTTCTGTGCAGACATTTCTGGTAATTATATTCACAGGTTTCTATTTTTTTTTTTTTTTTTCCGGTACAGGGAATCAAACTTATGACCTTGCACTTGCCAGGCAGGCACTGTGCTGCTGAGCTAAATCCCCAGTCCCAGGGTTTCTGTTCTTTACCTTTAAAATTTGTGCCTACTTGGAATTTATTTTAGTATCATGGATGGCATGCAGAGTTAAGCTTTCTTCCTCCAGGACGGCAATCCAGTTAGTCCAACGCCGTGTTTTGAACAATCCATCTGTTCACTGACTGGAATTGTTACCTTTACCAGGCTCTCAAATTTAGATATGCATTTTTCCAAATTTGGACTTTTTGTTTTGTGACAGTGATTACAAATGGAGTCTTCAACATTTGTTTTCCAATTCAAATGTTTGGCCTAAGCATGGCTCGTTTTCTCTGTTGCAATGTCTGGATGTCATTTACCGAATCCAGTGTTGAAATAAGTTCAAATTTGGGAGTCCAGCATCGGTAGCATTTACAACTCTGTTTATAAAGCAGCAGTTACTAGCTTCAAATGCATTACCAATCCGGACGAATGGTTTTGTAATTTGAATGGCAGCTTTTGACCAGGCTCACACTGACGCAGGACAAACTTATTACTTTGGCAGAGATTTTTGTGATCACTTCCCTCACCATCCCTTGGCTGTACTTTTTGGTAGAGCTGACCCCAGTGACTGTGCCTTGATTTTGACAGCTGCTGTGTTTCCCTTGAATCCACCCTGGTCTTGGTGAGAATTCCTTCGGAGACGGTGCTGACCGCCCCCCTCCCCAGCTGCGTTCTTCTTTTGCCTGGAATCCTGCTCTGCTTGCTGTCTCCCTGGTCCCAGGGAAGTGATCAGTGGCGCCGTTAGCACTTTCAGTCACGGTCGAGCAGTGGAGAGTTTAGAAGATCATCTGGAGGCCATGTTTCATTTGATCTTCTCTGTTTTGTAGGTGACGGCTACCATCTCCACTATTGTACAAGATCTCTTACTGGGAGTTGTACTTCCACAGAATTTCAAGAGACCACAGTTACAAAGTTGTACAGGGAAAATACAAAACAAAACACACAAGAGTAAAACAAATTTAGTTTGTGGAACAGTTTTGAACAAAGAAACATAATTTTAGTCATAACAGTTTTCACCAAAGATAAACAAGAAACAATGTTACTGTAGAACTAGCCAGTCTTTTTGTAAGTTTGCTTTCAAATGCTTCAGAGCGAAATCAAAACTGTGCATGGCCAAAGACTTGGAATAGCCATGATTATAATTTGATGAGAGGCTAGGGAAATAGCTCAGCAGCACAAGTATCTGCCCGGCAATTGCAAGGTCCTGAATTTGATTCCCAGTATTGAAGGAAAACAACAAGTACTTTAATTTGAGTGAGAGTTCAGCAATTGACAAGACAATTCAGTTATCTTTATTTTATATAACTTTTTTTTAAAAAAGTCATTACTGATGATGTATCAGACACACTGGGAGTCGCCTTTGATTATAGGTGTAATTTTCTTCAGTAGTGGGGACTGAGCCCAAGGTTGCGCTCAGCCTTTAAATTTTTTTTTTTTTTTAAATTTTGAGGCAGGGTCTCAGTAATTGCCCAGATTGGGCTTGAAATTCTGATGCTCCTGCCTCAGCCTCCCAGAATGCTGGAATGACAGGCATGCATCACCTTGCCGACCTATGTCCAATCTTTTAAGTCATCCAAGTAGCGCTGCCTTTAACAGCTCCGACCAAAAAAGGCACATCTTCAGACTTGCACAAGTTAGGAAACAGTGTGAACGACCACAGGCAGACTTATTACCCGATACGTGAGTGCCTCGAAGCAGACACCACAGAGTGGATTCTAGACGGGGAGACAGGCTAAACTGTGGGTCTTCCCTCTACGGGATCAAAAACCAATTGTTAGCTTAACGCGCCCCCTAGTGGTCCAACTTTCAACCTAGGTTTGAAGCTCCTCACCGCGGAGAGGGGCTTCAGCGCTCCAACTTCCCGGCCCCGCCCCGGAGCGCGCCGGACGCCGGAACCCGGACGCCGGAGCACGTGCACGAGCGCGCCGCGCCCGGAAGCCGCTGCAGCCCCTCCTTCCGCGGCTGTTAGCTCGAGAGCGCGCTCCCCCTGCCCGCCCTGTGTGACGGCAAACTCCACCTCCACGACATCCCCGACGGGACTTCGCTTCGTCCCTTCAGCCCGAGTCCGGTCCCGCTGCTGCGCCCCCGCCCCCGCCCCC